AATGATGTCCAGTTAACCAGTGAATACAAGGTGCAATGGTGGGTACAGTAATTACAGCCAGTTATGAATCTTAGCACACCATGATAGGCAACATCCAAAAACTGCAGGGTGCTTGTAGGAGTGTTCATGTAAATAATGTCACCGTAGTCAATGGAGGGAAGGAAAGTCACAGTTGCAAGGCGTTTCCTAGTATTCAGAGTTAGACAGGATCTATTTCCGAAAAAGAAACCCAATTTAACTTTCAGTTTCTTTACTAAGTTTTCCATATGGAGCTTAAAAGAGAGATGCAAATTGACCAAAATACTCAAATATTTGTAGGAATCGAAAAAGTCAATAGGGACACAATTCGAGGATAAAATCAGAGGAAGAACTGCTGGGACTGACTTTCTGTTTGAAAAAAGTATCCCTTTGGTTATGTCGGGGTTTAGAACAAGTTTGAGACAGAACAAATCTGACTGGATGGTGTCAAAAGTGGTTTGGAAAAGCTGGAAAACCTTAGCAACTGTTTTAGCTCGACAATAAAAAAAAACTGTCATCAGCATAGAAATGTAAGGATGCATCAGAGATGCTCTGTCCTACATTACCTATGTAGATTGTAAAGAGGGTGGGACCCAAGACTGAGCCTAGTGGTACACCATTGTTGACAGTTAAATAACTGGAGGAAATACCATTATGTTGAACACATTGCCTCCTTTCTGAAAGATAGTTAGAGAACCAACCAATGCTATGTTCTGAGAAACCAATTTCTGAGAGCTTATGACATAAGATGTCATGGTCCACAATATCAAAAGCTTTAGACAAGTCTAAGTAAAGTGTAGCACAACAATCCTTAGCATCCAGTGCTTCAACAATGTAGAGGAACATATGCATGAGATATATTCATCAATTAAACGGATTCTTTCATTTTTCTGGACTGTATATAATGTGCATTGAATTTAGAAATGTAACGTGAGACGTTAATTATCTTTGACCCATCAAAATGAATGCGGTCATTTATTAACAGAATCAAAGTTTAACACATCACACATTTACATTAATTGGCAAAATATGGAAAATAACAACATGGCTAGTTTTAGCAAACTGTACAATTTTGATTATCCACACGGCGGTGGATGAGAACTTTACACAGACATTTCTAAATTATCTGGAATGATTTCTACTTGATAGAAGAATTTTAAAGATGGAAAGATGAAGTTTAAAGGGAGGAAAAGATGGGTGAGGGGGTTTGTTTGTGTCAGCATTCAGGACGGCACTCTCCGAACTTTTCTCAGCTTCTTCCCCAGTACACTTAGGTGTTATAAATCAACTTTTTACCTGGAGATGTCCCCACCGGTACATAAGTCCATTCAACGCACCCTTTCAGCGTCTCCGTAGGAACAGCCGTGAATCGTCCGAAGTAGTGACGATATTCCGTCCGACACAAATTCACCTCAGAGGTGGAAGATGTTATAATCCCATAAGACTCGGGAGAGCTCTGTGGTCATGTCAGGATCTTCCTGTTTCCCAGCACGGGAGCTGCAACGACTCCAAACTCGACTCTTCACCCGACTCTCCTCGAAACTCTCCGCCACTCTGGTTTGAACTAGGAAGTACCGACATTTTAAAGAGCTCTATTTCCGGTTCATTTGGGAGTTTCTGATTGGTCAATATCGACCAGACAGGGGTGTGTTTTGTGACGTAAGAGGTCACAAGAAGTCAGAAAACAGCAAGAATGTTATGGAACAGATTGAAAATGTTTTTCAGACAGAGAGAGAAATGTTTGGACGAGTTGGCGGAAAAACAGGTGCCAGCTTCTCTATTTACGTCTGAGAGGATGTAAAAACACGACAGCTCGTTCCAACAACTGGTCTGCGTTTGACTCCGACCTTGGACCACTTACACTGCTCATTCAAAGACAGAAAATCAGAAAATGCATAATTACTCTGTAACAGACCTTAACATGAATTCTAACTTTGCATGAGGATTAAAAATCATTGTTACTGTTTCACAGTTAATTAAAAATGATTAGTTCACTGCAACATCTAAAATGGTTTGAACTAAAAACACTTTGATTATCAACATTTGTAAAACAGTAATGATAATAGAAAAGAGAGTGTTCTTTCACTTGAATTTTCAAGAAAGAAAGTCTCAGGATGGGTCAACCTGTATTTCTGGATGCAAATCAATGAAATGACAAGTTCTGTCCCATATGATCCTTAAGGTCAAATCCTGACCTTAGGCTTAGTTCACTACAACAATGTCATTAAAAACTTTCAGTGAAGCTGTGGTTGTGCTGTGTTGTTTCCTGAAACCAGATTGATGGAGAGGTAAGATGTTAAATGAGTCCAGATACTTCTTGTTTTGAGAGTTTATCAGTTTTTCTAGAACCTTAGCTAAAATGTAGAGATTAGAGTTTAGCGATCCATCATGAACGTTCATTCAGCCGCTGCACTCCTCGGACGCGCGCAGCCAAGGACCCAAACAGGTGAGATCCCAAAATATCTGACATGTCAAAGCAGGGTCCATGTCTGAATAATGCAGAATATAGGCAGAAGCAGGGATTTAATGTGCTTTGATGGCCATAAAATGGCAAACACCCCATTCAGCTTCGATCTTCTACTCCCTCAGCCGTGCGTGGATGCAGAATGGTGGCCCAATACTGAAAGACCGTTTCGCATGCACAGACTGGCAGGTCTTCAGAGAAGCTGCTGAAAATAAGGGGGCGCTAGACCTGGAAGAATACACATCCTCAGTCCTGGGGTACATTAGCAATTGTGCTGATGATGTCACCACCATGTTAAGAGTTACCCGAACAGGAAGTCTTGGCTGAATGCAGAGGTTCGCACCCTGCTGGAAGCCAGGAACTCTGCCTTCAGGTCTGAAAACTCACAGGAGCTGAGAAGGACAAGGACATAGTTGGTTGCTGGTATTAAAAGGGCCAAGGCCACATATGAACATAGGATCCAGGGTCAACTCACCACACAAGACCCACAGAGCATGTGAATGGACATTAAGTGTATAACAGGAGGCAGGAATGAACAATGCCCTAGAGACCCATTACTGCCTGATGCCCTCAACAAGTTCTACGCATGCTTTGAAGACCCGAACAGACCATCCAGCACCAGACTCACCTCACCACCAGAAGAATTGAGGAGTACTTTCAAGAGGATTAATCCTCACAAAGCAACTGGCCCAGACAACATCACGGGGAAGGTGCTGAAAGACTGTGCTGATCAACTCTGAGAGGTGATGGCCAACATCTTTAACTCCTCACTCACCTGGCAACAGTTCCAACCTGCCTGAAGACTGCCACCATCATCCCAGTCCCAAAGAGCTCTACAGTGACTGGTCTGAATGACTACAGGCCAGTGGCCCTCACCCCGATAGTCGCTAAATGCTTCGGAAAGCTGGTCATGACCCACATCAAAACCACCAACATCACCAAAGACCCTCACCAGTGCGAATACCGTGAGAATCGATCAACAGAAGAAGCCATCTCCTCAGTGGTCCGCACTGCTCTCACCCACCTGTAGCAGAAGGACTCTTACGTCTATGTGCTCTTTGTGGACTTCACATCTGCCTTCAATACCATGATCCTCCAAACCCTGGTGGACAAACTACTCACACTAGGACTAAGCCCCTCCATTTGCCACTGGGTCCTAGACTTCTTAACAAACCACAGTCAGTGAGGATCCACAACTTCTTCCCCTCCTCCATAAAGACTGGCTCAGCACTGGCTCCCCTCAGGGATGTGTGCTGAGCCCTCTCCTGTTAACTCTGCTCACATATGACTGTGCACCTACCCATTCAGGCTGCCATACTGTAAAGTTTGCAGACAATACAGTGGTGGGATGCATCACAAACAATGATGAGTCCAGCTACAGGCAGGAGGTGGAACACCTGGAGAGCTGGTGCAGGAAGAACAACTTTCACATCAATGTGAAGAAGATGAAGGAGATGGTTGTGGACTTCAGAAGGAACAAGCACACCTCCCCCCCTCCCCCGAACATAGGAGGATCTGCAGTTGAAGTGGTCCCCAGCTACAAGCACTTGGGTGTGCACCTGAATGACAACCTCAGCTGGAGCAACAACACTACCAGCCTGATCAAGAAAGTTCATCAGAGACTCTACTTCCTCAGGCAGCTGAGGCTATATGGTCTGGGAAGCTCAGTCCTCACCTCCTTCTACAGGTGTGCAGTGGAGAGCATCCTGTGCTCCAGCATCAATGTGTGGCATGGAGGCTGCACAGCTGCAGAAAGAAAAGCTTTGCAGAGAGTGGTGAAGGCTGCACAGAAGACTGTTGGAGTCAGCCTCCCCACCATCACAGACATCTATACCTCCAGATGCAGGAAGAGAGCCACCTGCATCACGAAGGACCCCACTCACCCAGCACACACTTTGTACCCTGCTCCCCTCAGGAAGGAGGTTAAGGAGCATTGAGTGTCGAACCACTAGACTGAGGAACAGCTTCTACCCTGAGGCTGTTAGACTCATACATTTCTAACCAGGATAATCACTGTGATAAATCACGTCATGCTGCTGCTGATCTGTTTCATGTTGCTGCTGATCTGTTTCATGTTGCTGCTGATCTGTTTCATGTTGCTGCTGATCTGTTTCATGTTGTTATGTTCATTGGTGCTCATCTGCTCACACAGACTCATGTTTGTGCTGCTGTTCAGCATATTGTTTTTATGTTATTAGTGCTTAGTGTATTTTTAGTTTATGTTTTTCTTAGTTCATATCTTAGATCTTGTTGTTTTTCCTTTACATTTTATAATTTTGTTGGATGTAACTGGGACCCTGTGTACACAATTTTGTTCCACCACAAGGGCCACATGTGGTGCGAATGACAAATAAAGAACCTTGCATCCTTGAATTTTTCTAATGGCCAGTTTAAATTTAGGATTACATGTAATGTGTATAAATATTTATTATCACAGAAGTTTGAGCAGTGGGAGTGGAGGAGTCACTGATCTCATTGTTACACTGATTCACTGACAGATCTCTGTCTTTTATTTCAGCTTTACGATAAGATCAACACCAAGTCCACCCCACAGATCCGGAACCCCCCCAGTGATGCTGTGCAGAAAGCCAAAGAGGTGACTGAACACACACACATATATTTCTCATTCATGCTGGTGTTCATGCAGCTTCTTCACTTTGTAACTGTGCAGCTGCTCACATCCAGTTCAGCTGTTTAGGATGTTGTTCTCGCAGCAGATCCTGGACCAGTGTGTGCGTTTGACCCTCTGGGTTACTGACACTGTTGTTGCTTGTAACATGCACACATACACACTAGCAGTATGTCTGTGGGGTAATAGCTTGTGTTCTTACACAGAGATCCACTGTAGTCTCCAGGGTCTGATCGGAGTTAGAACTCTGCAAACACAACACAGTCAGTGAGAGGGTGTGTCTGTGCAGCTTAACAAGGAGGGGGAGGAGGAGGGGGGAGAGAGTCTCTAATGTGCATTGTATTTATTTATTTTTTTTACATTTGTACATGTGTGCAGCTGCACAAAATGATGCAGTGCTTGTTGTGTTTTGTTGACAGGACAACTAAAGAATCTGAAAAGTAATGGGAGTGGGCGAGTGTCGGACAGAGGAAGCCATTTAACAGGAGCTGAACTCTGTTTTTTGTGGCTTTGGTTCATGTCGGAGACTCCTGGATAATTAACGTAGCTCTTTTTTCAAGACCTTCATGTCCGATCTTAGCATTTTCCTGCTTAAATCAGTCGGGATAAAGCAAAAGTAGTTCATGGAACTGCTGATGCTTAGAAGCAAAATCACAGCCTTATATTTGTCACTAGACTTTTGAACATATTCTTCTCAAAGACGTGCTAATGCACAATGACATCACACTCATGTCTGCTGATCCGTTTGAAAACTGCAAACAAAAAACTGAAACTGTAATCTTCTGCAATTAAAGTACACTTGTACTCTCCAGCTGACATAAGTTTTGTCCTCAATGGCACTAGTTCAGATCACCATCAGCCCAGTCACCCCAGCTCCCCGCTAAGCTGTTCCAATGGTTTTGTTAACTTGGTGTGCGCTACCACCGTCTTGGAGTGAGCATCTCTTCATTGGTTGCATCTTTCTGGTCCTTGGACTCTGGTTGGTTAGTGACAAAGTTCACTGAGGCCTCCAAAACATAACATGTATCTAGCACCTGTGATAACAAAATCAGTAGAGGTTTGTATATCTGTCACAAATAATTAAAGTCTAAAAATCATTATAAAGGTGAAAGTCTGTCAAAAAGATATTTTCTGATGTGACAAGAGATTAAATCAAGATCTGGACATACAGTGGATGAACTTGAATTACAAACACAATAATGATAGATTTGAGATCCTCACAACAAGTCTGTGTCTAGTTTCAGAGATTTAAATTGTAATGTCTGAGATAGGTGGTTTCCATAACTTTGTCACAAACATGGTTGAAGCCCAGACTGACATTTGTGGATGATAACACACCAAGATCCTGCAAAGACCAAATTCTGGCTAATATTTTTACATATTAGTTGCATCATCATTCAGTGTTAAGGGGTCATTTTAAGAAGGTTAATTGAATGTTTATTAAGCATTCACACTATTGTGTGTAACAAACCCCCATTATGTTTGGACCAAAATCACCACACAAAGTAAAAATTAAATTATATTTATTTTCTAGGTGAAATATTGCAGATTGGGCCTGTTCTGGTACTGGTTCAGGTTCCGAATCAGGGACAAGTCTATGAGACAGAGATCAGTTAGTGGTCGTGCAGGAGACTATGGGGAGCAGAAAAGTCAAATAAGGAGGACCACTAACCGTCTCAGATGATCTTGGGGGTTCTGGAGACTGAAGAAGTCCAAACTGATCCGGACCACTGCTGGAGGAGCTGAGTCCGGTGGGGGCTGCAGCCGGCCGCAGCGACAGGCAGGTGATGAGTCCGTCAGGCGCAGAGTCCTGGTCCAACGAGCCAGGGTCCAAAATCAAAGAGCAGATGACTGAAGGGACCGGAGGAGTAGACAAAGAGATGTAGTCGTGCAGGCGAAGGTCAGAACTGAAGACAGAAGACTTAATAATCCAAGGGGTTGAGCGAGAGACATGTCCAGGTGAGTCGTGGGTCCAGGAGCCGGGAGGTCGAGCCAAGAGGTAAGGACAGGAACCAGGAGCAGGACAGGAACAAGAAGAACAGGTCAACTATGACAGGGAAACACTATGGCTAGAGGGAAACAAAACAGGATCATGAACGCGAGGTATCTACTTGCAGAAAACTGTTTTCAACTACCGGGCACCGAAGAGGAGAAAGAGTGAAGCTTATATAGGATGAGAGTGACGGGTGCAGCCAGATGAGCTCTAATCAGCTGCTGCTGTCTGCTGTGAAGACAAATCTAAACAAACTGTGACGTCACCCTCTACCAGCATGCAAAGAAAACAAACTAAAACGCACATGTAGAAATAAACACTACAGGAGCGGACAGAATAAATGAAACTTACAGGATAGATCTATTGCAAACTTTAAAAGGTGATCAAGGTGACAGAAAATATGATCTAAGGGATGTGATTCGTGACATTGTGATCCTGTTTATATTTCTTATTATACTTTGTAGTTACTATATTTCTTCCATATGCAGTTTTTAAGCTATTCCAGCATTTTAGATATCAAAACGTTCAGCTCGTTCAGGAGGAAGTTGCTATGACTTTTGGTATTGGTGCAACTTTAGTTTTTTTTTTTTTTTTGCCTTTTCTGACATTTTTTTTCTTATAGAAAATTAATTGAACTCATTTTACATCCTTCAAATCTTTAGATCTGTTCACAACCTTTTACTACTAGTATCACATTTTGTTCTGCTTCAGCTTCTTTCAGCTTCTTTTTTCCAGCTGTTTGCGCTCTTTTCAGAATCTACTTCTAACAACATTTTTGTGCTTCTAACTTCTTTCTGCTACTTTCAGCTTATTTCTGCAAGTTTCAGACTTCTCTGCTATTTTAGCTACTATTTAGTTGTGTTTATGCTTATTTTAGCATTTTCAGCTAATTCTGGGCTCAAGAGCCCAGTTTGAGAAAAAAGTTACATAAAACTATGACTTAAATCACAGAGGACTTGCAATAATAACAAGCAGCTTAAGTCTTTGATAAAGCAGTACTTGATTTTTTTGTGCGTAACAAGCGAATGTGATTAAAATATAATGACTACCTGGATGAACTCACTCCTTTGCTTACTAAACAGTAACTCCTTTAAGCAGGTTTTAGTGCATGCACACGAACACACACACATACACACACACTTGTTAAAGGCCTCAGCTCCACAGTACCCCCCTCACCAGTCAGGCGCAGCATAACCAGAGCTGACATCAAACCAGGTCACATCAGGAGCAGAGGAGGAGAGCCAAAGCCTTGGCTTGTTTTTGGACACTCTGCAGGTTGTCTGACACTGTCGCTGGAGGCACTGAGGGAAGGGTCAGGGAGGTCTGAGGAGGGCTGTGGGGTCAGAAACTTTTTGTTTCAGGTGCAGCAGGTACATTAATGGGGTACAAGTGAGAGCTACTTGATAATAAGGATGGAGAGAAGCTGCAGGTTTTTAAACAAACTCTTCTGTCTTTGTTTATTCAGGTCCTGGAAGAAATCTCCTGCTACTCTGAGAAGTACGAAGCTAAAGAACTTAGACGGATATTAACACAGCCCCATTTCATGGTGAGTCGAGTCAAGAAACACAAACTGAATAAGAAAAAACAAAGCCTTTATGGATCCTTAACAAGCATTGATTTCATAACCAAATCAGAAACTTAGCTCTTATCAATTTTCTTGATGCTTTTATTTCACTTTTTTCTTTTTTTTTTCTTTGTAGGAAATTAGCAACCAAAATAAGGTTTTATTATCAGCATTGCCAATGGTTTGAGCAAATTGCTTTAGCTTCTTTAACTTTAAATAAATCAAGTAATCACACTACAACAGATACTTTACTTTAGTCATCAGCATCCAGTAGGTACTTTTATAAAAGTCAGGCGGTCGGAGTCTCTTAAGGCTTGTCTAATGTTTGGAGCACAAATCTCATCACATTATTGCACCTGATGTTCCCTTTGATAGATGACCTGCTCATTATTAGATGAACAGACCATCAGGGAGGTGACGCAGAAGGAAGCAGACAAACAAGAGAAAACTGAACGAAAATGAAAAGTTTGGAGAAAAGGGACAGATGAGTAATTAAGATGAAATGGAGAAGAAATATAGATGGAGGACAGTAAGGCGTGTCTAATGCAATGAGCTGTGTCAGGCCAGACGCCTATCTCCTTCGTGATGATGTGAGCTGGTGTGTTTTGCATCCAAACGTGTTAGAAACAAGACAAAGTGCAAACAAACTACGACAGGATTCAAATAC